GTTCGATTCTGGTCAAGGGCACATGCCTGGGTTGTGGGCTCGATCCCCAATGTGGGATGTGCAGGAGGCAGCCAATCAATGATTCTCTCTCTCTCTTCCTCTCTGAAATCAATAAAAATAATTTTTAAAAAAAGAAGCAAAAAATCTTACCGATAGTTTCTGATGTGTTTTATTCTTCTGCCATTGAGATTTCCTAAGGACCTACTCTTTTCATATCATCTATTTGTCTTTTAATTCAGCCTCCACTTCTGCCACTTTTGCAACTGAAACATAGAATCTGATATTTTCTGAATTATTACCCTTTCTCTGACTCCCATCTTTTGCACATGCTGTTCCTGCTGGAGAATTCCCTCTCCTCAGTGCTCTGCCTGGTGAAATCCTATTCATCTGCACATCTCAGTTCTGACACTAGCTCCTCTGCTGAGAACCCTGGCTCTCAGTGCAGACTTGGGCCCACCCCTTTGCTTCCACATTCTATGTATGTACCTCAATTTTAGCAGGTATCATGTAATATTCTCAAGGCTGTGTGCCTCTACTAAACTCAGGTCCAAGAAGCCAAGAACAATACTTTGTCTTTATGTGGAGCCTTGCACAAAGCAGGTGCTCAAAATTTCTTACACCTTTGCCAGCTACAGTTCTATCAAAGAAACACCTCCTCTATCCAGAAGCAGGACTCAAAACACATGTCAATAAATTCCATGCACTTCGGGCACAGGCACAGCCTCAGACTTCCAATCAGAATCAACCTACTCTTATTATATAACCAGTCCTAACACTGTTTGTGGTTTTCCAGTGCAGACGAAAGGAAGGAGAGAGGCAATTCTAAAGAGAGCCCAGTGACAATAGCAGGAAGTGGCCTGGGATGGACCATCAGGAAACAACCAGCAAGCAGCAAATGTGGCCACCTTCTTGGAGTGGTTGTAATTCTGTTTCCCTGTGAGGCCCTGCTTCCGACAGCCCTCTCCCACACTTCTAAGCCTGAAGACTTTGTCTTCGGTTAAAAAACAAAAACAAAAGAAACCCCTTACATCTTTTGTTTCCTTCTTAGCTGATGAGGGGGCCAGTCCCTGAGCCCCTGGTTTCCTGGTGATAAGCCTGATGGAAGGGTGACTTCCTTGATGGCAGCAGCAGTCTTGACTTGGATTTTTTTTTTCAGGGAAGCAAAGTGTCCAGTCCACAGCGAATTTCTACCCCACCACACATTGGCTAAAACAAGCTTGAGTGCTGCTCAGAATTCGCCGGGGGTGGGGAGGAGGGCTTTTTAAGCCAGGGACTGTTGAACTCCGACCCCAGAATTCCTGATTTAATAGGTCTGGGCTATGGACCTCACATTTTGCATTTCTAACAAGTTCCTAGGTGATGTGAATGCTGCTTCCCCTTGCTTCATTTGCACAGGTGCCTGCATTTTTTTTCCTAAGGAAGACTTGGTAATTTCCAGCGGAACCAGTGGCACTGGATATTTATCATAAGATACAGTATTTACTTAGACCAAATAAACATTGTCATAAACTCTAAAAACAGAAGATGCTGGCATCCTGACTTCCCTGCAAGGCTCTCTGAAACCTGCTCTCTCTTGGATCTGTATCACTGACTCATATTTAGACCCAAAGCACCTCAAGCAAACCCACTGTCAGAATAGAGCAGAGCACGGTTCTCTCCTGTCACCCACCCTCTGCCCCACTCTCCCCAAACTGTTTACACCAGATATCACTTAAAAATTTTTTTAAAATTGATTTCAGAGAGGAAGGGAGAGGGAGAGATAGAAACACCAATGATGAGAGAGAATCATTGATTGGCTGCCTTCTACACGTTCCCTACTGGGGATCAAGCCCGCAACCTAGGCATGTGCCCTTGACTGGAATAGAACCTGGGACCCTTTAGTCTGCAGGATGACGCTCTATGCACTGAGCCAAATCAGCCAGGGCCAGATACCACATTTTATATCAAAACATTAACAGTAGTCACCAAGTATATGTATAATCCATGGCAACAGACAATAGGGTAGTGAAGGCTTAGGGTGGTCGGTGGGGATGGGCTAGAAGAGGTCAATAGGGAAAAAGAGGGGGCATATGTAATACTTTCGACAGTGAAGATTTTAAAGAGAGAGAAAAAACAGTAGTCATCAAGGCATCATACTATTAATATAAATCCATTTTAAAAGTAATTACCTAATGATAGGTTCTACTGTTAAATAACTAAGTTTATATGCATTGAAAAAATGTTAACAGTGGAGCCAGTCAAAAGTCGCAAAAAACTTTTAACACAGTTGCAAGACCAACACACCAGTGACTTTGGAGGAATGAAACTTGTGTCTTTGACTTACCAAAGGCCTTTGGCTTGAGCACTCTCTGTGCAGTTGTAATTAGAACCCAAGGGGTCGGTCTGGATTTTTAAACAGAATTGTCACTGACAATAGGAGTTCCTGTGCAGGAAGAAAACTCCCTATCACTCTTTTATTGGGACTTGGAGAGAAGGATGAATTCTCTCCAGTGACTTCCATATTTCACTGGTGCTAAAATTCACATTGTTTTGCACTGTAACATCGCTGAAGTCCACACACATCTTACAATGAAAGGCATTTTATAATCGTGGCTGGCCAGATGGAAGTTGAGATGTGCTGTCACTGCCTGAACATGCACAAACTTAGTGGTAATTCCTGGTGGGATGACTTGGCAACTTGCAATCTCCATGTTTCTGTCAGCAAATCATATAAGAACCGTCTGGGAAAGATACATGCTACCTGTTGTCTAAAACCTTCCATTGACACCTTCAAGTAAGATAAGAATGTGCCAGCATCAAAACGTGTACACTAGGGGTCAGTGTCTTGAGAACTAACAGTGGAGGACTCTTCAGACATCTGCATCAGCAGCACCTGGCATTTAAGGACACCAGTGGCCGAGTTGAAAATGATGCAGAAGAATAGAAATTCTGACGTGAAGGAATGAGAGCAATTCCTTCATAAACTTATTTTGCTTACATTTCCCTTTTTATGTTTGCACAAGATGACATATGATAACAATGAATGTCTATGTGTACAAGCTCACATTCAATACATATTTTAATAATTCTAATGATAAAAAACAATTACAAATAGTTTAATGGGAAGTATCTTTCTTTTTAACAGAAGCTCTCAACCCTTTTGATCTGAGGACTCCATTTATTTATGGAGAACCATAAAGAACTCTTGTTTATGTGGTACTATCAACATTTTTAATATTAGAAATTTAAAGAGACTTTGAATACTGAAGAACACACAAGCACACCTTTCATTCCTAGTCAGAGAGATGACACACAGTCTCTGTGAAAACTCCAATCAATGTACACAGGTGAGAGTACGAGAGCAAAAAGGGGCAGATAGTGTCACAGTGTTAATAGGAAAAGAGTTTTGACCTTGTGATACCCTGAAAGGGGGGACATCATTTGGGGAGCCACTGGCATATAAAATAATGGTGTATTTTACACCATTCGAGTTAATGAATATGGTATATGTCCACCTAAAATATTAGAAGGAGCAAAATCTTGGAGAACTATTGTCGGACAGCTGGTGCAGCACTCTGAGACACTGGGTATCCTGTAGGCCTGGGGACTTCTGACTTAGAAGGTACCAGTGTACCTAGTGGAACTGGCTGTGGAGGAGGAGGACTGGATAGAAGTTGGGGCAAAGATGAAAGAAGTGAGTTTGGTACCCAGGGGAGAGAGCTGGATTTCCTGGAGACGAGGAGGGGAGTTCCTGCCAGTGATGGAGATTTGGGGAGACATGCAAATGGCTGCAGAAGATGGACACTGGGTACACAGGGCATTGGAGCACCAGCCAGGTTCCCCCTGTACAGGCAGCTGCGGGTATTCAGGGCCCCATCCATGCAGCTTGAGCAAGGAGATCCTGGGGAAAGCCACCAAGGATTGCTGACCAGGCCCTCTTCTGCCACCTCCCTGACCGGAAATCCTAAAACTGCCCAAGGAAGGTGGACCAGGAGGGTGTGTTGTGTGTGTGTGTGTGTGTGTGTGTGTGTGTGTGTGAGAGAGAGAGAGAGAGAGAGAGAGAGAGAGAGAGAGAGAGAGAGAGAGAGAGAGAGGCTTTCTCCAGGAATTGCTGAGACCAGATTAGCTTTGACTTAGAAACTACAGAATAGTTACAGCTGCAGACCTGAGATCATCCTGACTGATTTCTAGCTCTGCCACTTTCTAACTGGAAAGGCATGGCCATAGGATCCCCGCTGGGAGCACCAAGTGAGCGATACCTGGAAGCTCTTCAAACACATGGCGAGTGTCATCGTGTCTTGTACCTTGGTTGTCCTGGAGATGTCATACCTGCCCCACACATCCTTGGAGGGTTGGGATGGCTGAAGTTGGACCCCAGGTCTAGTGGGAGACTAGATTACAGCCTAACCCCGAGTCCAGGGGGCCGAGGGCAGGAACATATTCAAAACTGCATTGGTGCTCCATCGGGAGTGGGCGGCAGAGGCCGCGTGGGAGCGTCCTGCAGCCTGCCCTCCAGCCCCCCCAGCCCTCAGGTCCCCCAGTCCCAGCCCCCCGGCCCAGGCCAGTCCTTACCTGCTTCGGAAGGACCCAGGGCCTTTCTCAGGTGTGAGCGCGGGTGCCCACGCGCGGAGCAGGGAAATCGGTACAAACTCCCCAAGGCTCCGTAGGGGTTGGGGTACCCCACTCCTGAGTTCCCCTCATTTTTACCTTTCGCCAGGGGGGGCCTGGCGCTCTTTGCACTCTTGGGGCTGGGGGAGGGGTGGCGTCTGAGCCGGGAGGTGGGCGTGGGCCGAGGCCTTTGACACCTGCGGGGAGTGAGAACGCTGGAAGCTTCGGAGGCCGGGCTCCGCCGCCCACACCCCTCCCACGCCAGCACCCCCCCGGAGTGGGCGTGGCCGGTCGCTGCCCGCGGGCGCCCGCAGGGGGCGGGGCCGGGGCGGGGCCAGCGAGCGAGGTAAGTCCCACAGGCGGAGCGGAGCGCGGGGAGGAGGCCGGCCCGGGGGCGCCACATCCGGCCGCCGCCGTTGTGCATAAAACCGCCGCTGCCGCCGCCGCTGTCGGCGTGAGCTGCCGCTCTGGCTTCCTCTCGGCCTCGGGAGCGGCTGCTCCAATGCTCCGGGGCGGCCATGAGCGCCCCGCACTGGTGGGATCAGCTGCGGGCTGGCAGCTCGGAGGTGGACTGGTGCGAGGACAACTACACCATCGTGCCTGCCATCGCCGAGTTCTACAACACGGTGCGGGGCGCCGGGGGCTCGCGGGCGGGAGGGGCTGTCCCCGGCGCCGCGGCGCCTGGAACCTGGACGGGGCTCCGCGTGGACCCGGGGCATTATCTCTCCAGGGCCGGAGTCCACCTGCGCCCCTCCCGGCCCGCGCCTTCCAGCTCCCCATCTGTCCCTCTCTCCTGCCCCGGCCGCGCCGGCTGGACTCCGCTTCCTCCTCTTGTCGTTTCTGCTGACTGTTGTGTGGTGCGGTCCCCATCCGTCCCGGAGCCAGTGCTCCGTGTCTCTGAGTTGGGCCAGTTGCGGGCGGGGACCTGCGGGGGCAGCTCCCGCGCGCCCTGGGATCCCCGCGGCGTGACGCACTTGGGTCGCATTGTGCGGTTTTGCGCCGAACACCTGCTCGGGAGGCCCAGGAACAGGGCGGCGCGCCGGCAGGTCTCCGGAGCGGGGCCCACGCCAGTCGTGCTCACTGGCCCCAACCCGCGTATCCATCAATAGTAGGTCGAGTTACTTTGGGCCAGAATCAAGTTCATTACCACCAGTTCTTATTTCCTCGCCTTAACTTAGTACCCCGTCTAATGCCAGCTCCAGTTCAACTCCCCCAGGCCTGTGCGCTCTCCAGTTATGAAGTCCGGGGCGGGAAAGGGAAACTTGGGAGCGACTGGGTACATGATTTCTAGGGACGGAAACTTCCCCACTGCAGAAGCCTGTGTGCGTTTAGTCTTTGTGGGAGGGAAAGCTTTGCAACTGGGAGGGGAAGACCTCTTTTCGCTGTGCCCATGGCTCAGGATTCTGGCACCAATTGTAAGCCTTGGCGTGGTCATTTCAGTGGATTGTCTTTTCACTGCTCCAACGGGGAAAACAGGAACTCCTGGTTTAAGGTTCATTGAGAAGTTGAGGCTGTTCTTTAGAATGTTCACCTTCGATTTGCTGGCGAGAACATTGGCATCAGCCAGTGCTTACTGCCTGGAGGGATCTCTGCTGAGCTGGTCCCTGCCCTCCTAGTCACTGATGAGCACACGGAGCTCTTGAGAAGGGAGCTGTCATGCTCTCATTTCTGGTGAGTCGGGGCCACAGTTCAGAAGACTGCACCGTCGGTCCTCTTATTGCTGGAACCCACGGCTGCTGCTGCCCTCTCTCCAAACACTCCTGCTTCTTTTTTTTTTTTTTTTTAATATATTTTATTGATTTTTTACAGAGAAGAAGGGAGAGAGATAGAGAGTTAGAAACATTGATGAGAGAGAAACATCGATCAGCTGCCTCCTGCACAACCCCCACTGGGGATGTGCCTGCAACCAAGGTACATGTCCTTGACCGGAATCGAACCTGGGACCTTTCAGTCCGCAGGCCGACGCTCTATCCACTGAGCCAAACCGGTTCCGGCAACACTCCTGCTTCTTGTCTGTGCCCAGGTTAGTTCCTCAAGAACACCTAGTCTTCTGCTCTTCGTAGATACAGTTAGTGGAGGAGGCCGCACCTCACCTGTTGTACAACCTTTTTCAGCGCCTACTATCAGTGTTGGGGGACGCCCATACCTCTGTGGAGCAGGGCTGGGTGCTTTCAACAGCGGCGACTCGGTTCTCCAGTTGAAAGCGGAGAATACTACTAGGGATTTCACCAGAGTTAAAGAAGAAATGACAGCCTGGGGACAGGTTCTCATACTCTCTGCAAAGTCATTATCGGTAGACTCTGAGGCCAGCAGAAAGTCAGGCCTGGTTATTTGGCCAAAAAGTGTATAGCTGCACTGAGCCTGCCTTGAAAAGCCCCAGAGTGCTGGAGAAAGGGGAGAGTTTGTTTGGTGTTCACTTTTAATCTGGTTTCTTTGGAGCAGTTACGTGGTGAGTGCCAAAATCTTTTTTAGAAATCAACTGCTGATCTTTAGCTGCAGCGTCTGTAGCTGATTAGCCCAGCTGGTCTGCCTGACAAACCTTATTCTTTGAAATACTTATAAACCACAAAATTTGCTTCAGCAGTGCGCAGAACGAAAGGGAAACTTGGGAGCGATTGTCTCAGAGAAGTGGTTGGTCACCAAGCTTGGTTGGTCCAAAGAGTTTAGCAAAAACCATAGCTTCTCTGTCCCCGGGCCCTGGTTATCGGCGGTGCTTATACGTCACTGGACAAACCTCTTACTCCTGTGCTGAGGAAGGCAGTGAGCCTTTACTTGGAGATTAACATCTGATTAAATCCTCATAGGAAGGCAGCAGGTCTAGGTATTAGTTATACAAGAAAATAATAATTATGGCTAATCTGGAGAAGAAGTTGAAGGAATTGAAGATGTAAAGTCAGAACCTGGGAGAGGAATCCAGAAGCTTCTTAGTAAGTCTTTGGGGTAGCACATCACGACTACAACTTAAGTTACTGCTGGTTTTCATTCATTGTTCGCTGTGTGCTGAAGCTCTGCTGGGCCACCCTAGGAAGTGGGTGCTATTTTCTATGCCCATTTTATAAAGGAGGAAACTGGGCCTACATAGAGTATGCAACTTGCTGAGGTCAAGAAAATGGCAGAGCCCGGCTGGTGTGGCTGAGTGGTTGAGTGTTGACCTATGAACCAGGAGGTCATGGTTCGATTCCTGGTCAAGGCACATGCCTGGGTTGTGGGCTCGATTCCCAGTGGGGGGCATGCAGGAGACAGCTGATCAGTGATTCTCTCTCATCATTGATGTTTCTCTCTCCTTTCCTCTCTGAAATCAATAAAAATATACTTTTAAAAAATGGCAGAACTAGCCCTAACTGGTTTGGCTCAGTGGATAGAGCGTCGGCCTGCGGACTGAAGGGTCCCAGGTTCGATTCCGGTCAAGGGTATGTACCTTGGTTGTGGGCACATCCCCAGTAGGAGGTGTGCAGGAGGCAGCTGATCAATGTTTCTTCCTCATGGATGTTTCTAACTCTATTCCTCTCCTTCCTCTCTGTAAAAAAAATCAATAAAATATATTTTTGAAAAAATGGCAGAACTAGAGTTAGAATTAGGTCCATCTGACTCTGCTAAGGTACAACTTGTGAAGATACAAGTGCCATTGTAGCACCTTAGATTTATTTATGTGGCATAATACATCTATTTATTATTCAGTTGTTCTTTAACTTAAACTCCTGCTTTGGGACCATTTGATCTGTAGGCCAGTCATGATTCTTGATATGAAAAGAAAAGTTTGTTTCAAGTAGTTTATTGTTTTGGTTGTTGTTTATTATAACAGTAATACATGATTATGGTAAAAAATTCAGAGTATTCATCTTATAAAGTGAAAAATACCTTTTCTTCTGTATATTTGTTGTTGTTAATCCTCACCGGAGGATATTTTTTCCATTGATTTTTAGAGAGAGTAGAAGGGAGAGAGGAAGGGTCAGAGAGAAAGACATTGATTGGTTGCTTCCCACACATGACCTGACCAGGGCCAGGGATTGAACCTGCAACCCAAGTACTTACCCTTGACCAGGAATCAAAACTGTGACCCTTTGGTGCGTGGGCTGACCTCTAACCACTGAGGAACACTGGCCAGAGCCCTTCTGTATCTTTTTAGACTTTTTCTAGGCATAGAAAAAGCACTTGTATTATTTGTGTGAGTATATAAAATATGTATGTATATTGCATACATAACCCAATCTAAGTTTTTTTCAACTCAATTGAAGTACTACTACACAAACCTTCTGTACCTTGTTTTTTTCACTTCATATGTCTTGGAGATATTATATTAGTTTGAGGTGTACACACCCCAGTGATTAGACATTTATAACTTACTAAGTGATCATCCTGATAAATCTCATCTGACACCATACATTAGAATATTACTAGAACATTATTGAATATTAGATATTGCCTATGCTGTATTTTACATCCCCATGACTATTCTGTAACAACCCATTTGAACTTCTTCATCTCTTCACCTTTTTTCACCCACCTCTCCAACCCCCCAACCCCCCTCCCATCTTGCCCCAAATCTTATCATCCTTTGCTTCAGCCAAACCCAGATATCTTTAAGAACACAGCCTCTTGCTTGAGCACATTTTGTACTATTTCTTCTATATACAAGTTTTATTAAATTCAGTTTCTTTTTAAAAATATATATTTTTATTGATTTCAGAAAGGGAGGGAAACAGAGAGAGAGAGAAACATCAATGATGAGAGAGAATCATTAATTAGCTGCCTCCTGCACATCCTCCACTGGGGATCAAGCCTGCAACCCCAGCATGTGCCCTGACTGGGAATTGAACTGTGACCTCCTGGTTCATCAACCTTTGAGTTGCACCAGCCAGGTGAATTCAGTGTTTGTTTGTTTGTTTGTTTGTTTTAAATGTTTTAAGTTTTAAGGCCCCAGTCACACTGAAGAGGAAGACTCCAGACCTAGCTGCTTTGGAGAAGTGCGGAGGGTGTCTTTTAACCACTGGACTTAGCCTTTGGGGACTCTGTTGCTGGGCAGTGACTCAGGGGGACAGAAGGAAATCAACTGGTGCTGAAGAAAGTCTTGAAGCAAAACATATGCATAAAATCAACCCATGATCTGTTACCTCCCCCAGTCAGATAAGGAAAGTAGAGTCCTCTTTATATGCCAAAAGCCCACATCCCATTATCTGTAGGGCATAATTATCCATCCATCCATCCATCCATCCATCCATCCATTTACTAGGCAACTACTGTGTGCCTTCACAGATACCAGACCCACAGTCATCTGGGTGGTGAAGGCCATAATAAAAGTGTGTGTAAGTCCCCCAGGTGTTAGAGCTCTGCATGGGGTTGGTGTACTGTGGAGGGGGGATTTTGCAAGAAGACTTCTGTGTAGAGTGACCAACTTGTCCTGGTTTGCCAAGGACAAAATTGGACTGTCTTGGTTTTAAAAGTGAAAGTTCCATGTCCTGAAGACCCTCCTTAGTCCCAGGCAAACCAGGACAGTTGGTCATCTCAGAGGCTGGAGGGGAGCAATGGGATGGATGGTTAGGAATGTGCATACAATGAAGACACACAGAGAATTTTCTTAGTCAGGGTATTGACCCTTGTCTGCTTATGAACTTGTTGAGAAAAACTCAGAGCTTCTTGCTTTGTCAGTATTTACCCTCTGCTGGGAAGTGCCCATTCACATGCATCAGGATGAGTTTGCAGTGTGTTCATGACATTACTATGGTGCAAATATGTGGGAATTCATAGAATGAGGAAGTTTCTAAGGAAATAATACATTTCAAGATTTTTGCTTTCCTTTCAATTAAAATAATCTGTTCTGCAGGCATTAAATAATCCAGTTCTCCAAAGGATAATCCAACAATAGGCTTTAAGAAATACCTCTTGTCTGAACTATTCTTCAACTTTAGTGACCCCATATGATTTTGAGAGGAAGTTTCATTTCTCAGTAGATATGGAGCCACTGAACCTCTCTTTTAACCACAACTCATTTGCTTTCCGTATTTCTTTGGGAGTTCCTTCCTCTTTTTGTCTTGGGGAGCGTCTCCCTCTAATTTGATCTTTTCCTTTTAATAGACTGACTTGTTTAAAAGGCCTGGTGGAGGCCAGCAGATGTTGATAGATGGTCTGTGCAGAAGTTAATAATGTGATTTCATATTATTTGGGTGTATCTGTTAAAATGGTGCTTCTAAACTGAGCTCTCTAATACGTGCAATGAAAAAAAAGTGTTTGGAAGTATCATAATGTTACTGCAGGTATAATAAACGACTCATGCTTTCGTGAGTAATGTGTAAATACATTTAAAAGTGATTCGTGTGGACCTTGCTAGTGGTAATATAAATTGACAGAGCCATTTGGGGGCAGCTTGGCAGCAGTTAGCTGCACTTGGCTGATGCAAGGGAGACTGAGAGAGAGGACTTGAGGCAATAAAGATATATTGGGGATAAAAAACAAATGTGTTATATTTTCCAACATTGTAGGTGGGGCTGTAAATTGCTGTCCTTCCACTGGGGAATGGCTAAAAAAACCCCACAGAAAACCAAAAAAACTCCTGCCAACTGCAGCACTTACCGCAAGTGAGGAGATAAATCTGTACGAACTAAGATGAAAAAGATTTATAAAGCATGTTGTGAAATGAGAAGAGAAAGTTGCAGCCCTGGCTGGTGTGGCTCAGTTGGTTGAGCTGTTGTTCCAGGCACCAAAAGGTCGCCAGTTTGATTCCTGGTCAGGACACATGCCTGGGTTAGGGGCTTGGTCCCCAGTAGGAGGCATGCAGGAGGCAGCCACTCTCTCTCTCCCTGTCTGCTTCTTGGTAAATGAGTATTGGCCGCATTTCTAGGACTGGAGACTGTATACCTGGAACACCTGACACAGTTTATCCATACTCTCCGCCAGGGGCACCAGTAGCTCATAGGGCTCCGACGTGGGATAGAGAAGATCCCCATCAGAGTAGACCACCTAGAAAAAGGTACCCCGTTCTCCAGAACGATGCAGCCCACTGGGGATTTCAGCCTGGGATTTTCCCAAAGGCAGCAGTCCTGCTCCCATCCCGTCCCCGACAAAGGATCTTACCTGTCTTTCCTTGTATCATTTCTCTCCCACCTTGTCTTTCTCCTCTTGCTGAAAATGGCGTCACTCCTAATCTCTCTTGTTCCCAAATGGTGATGGAGGCCTATGTTGGCCACTGGTGTTGCCAATCCTTATCGGTACTATGCCTCAGTTCTGGGGTTTGCTGAAGCATTTTGTATGGTTGTGCACCAGTGTGATTTTGTAAGTCTGGAAAAAGCCTTCTACCTTTCCCGGCCCCTTCAGTTCAGTTCAGGCACTCACTCATAGTTCGTTTGAGGCCCCCTCTGTATCGTGTTTTAAAAGCCCCCATGTCCTTGGCGTTTCAGACTTCATCTGCCCCGTTCCATCTCTGAAAGTACTCTCCTTAAATCTTTTTGTGTGTACCCCTCCCACCCCGTGCCCATTGGGGTTGCTCTTTTAGACTTAGCTGTTGCCTTCAACCTTCTTCACTCTTCTTCTGTATACATAGTCCTATATGAGGAGCCCCTCACTCCACACTTAGAGATGAAATTTAAAAAGCCGAATATTCCTACCACTTCGTACCTTCTAGGATGGCCTTCATAAGGCAAAGCAACCCCCAGAAAATAAGTGTTGGCAAGGATATGGAAAAATTAGAACCCTTGTGCATTGCTTGTAGGAATGTTAGATGGTTCAGCCACTGTTGAAAAGAGTTTGGTGGTTTCTTAGTAACTTACATGTAAAATTACCTTATTGTCACTGGAAAGGGGCCGGGCTGAGATGGGTCTGCCTCAGCACAGTTACTCTGTCCAGTATGGCGGTCCCTGGCCACATGTGGCTACTGAGCACGTGAAGTATGGCTGGTCCTGAAGGAGATGTGTGGTCAGTGTGGAATTCACACTGGGCTTCAAAGCTTGGATCTGAACAAAGAGAATGGAAACTATCTTATTAATGATACTTAAGTAGTGATTACATGTTGAAATGATAATATTTTAATATTACATTAGATAGAATATATATATATTTTTAAAAAATATATTTTATTGATTTTTTTACGGAGAGGAAGGAAGAGGGATAGAGAGTTAGAAACATCGATGAGAGAGAAACATCGATCAGCTGCCTCCTGCACACCCCCCACTGGGGATGTGCCCACAACCAAGGTACATTCCCCTGACTGGAATTGAACCTGGGACCCTTCAGCCCGCAGGCTGACGCTCTATCCACTGAACCAAAACGGTTACGGCGATAGAATATATTTTTTAAAAAGCCAAATGCTGCCCGAACGGTATGGCTTAGTGGTTGAGCATAGACCCAGGAACCAAGAGGTCACTGGTTCAATTCCTGGTCAGGGCATATGCTAGGCTTGTGGGGTCGGTCCCCAGTAGGGGGTGTGCAGGAGGCAGCCGATCAATAATTCTCTCTCATTGTTGTTTCTTGCTCTCCCTCTCCCTTCCTCTCCGATATCAATAAAAAACATATATATATATAAAGCCAAGTGCCTTCTGGAGAGATAACAGAGAGGCTTAAATCCACACTGAAGTCTGAAAGATAAAATGGTATATCATTTTTCGCCCAGTCGGCATGGCTCAGTGGTTGAACCAGGAGGGCACAGTTCAGTTCCCGGTCAGGGCACATGCCTGGGTTTCATGCTCAATGCCTATAGTGGGTGTGCAGAAGGCAGCTGATCAATAATTCTCTCTCATCATTGATGTTTCTATCTCTTTCCCTCTCCCTTCCACTCTGAAATAAACAAAAATATATTTAAAAAATAAATAAAACGGTATCCTTTTAAAGCTGGGAAAGAACCTACAAATTTGATCTTCACCTGAAAGTAGGTTTTAGATAGAGTGAGAAAGCGACAAAGGGCGACAGGGGAATCTAGGAAGAATCTGCCTTCTGTGGGCCTGGGAGAAAAGGCTGGCCTTGCTGGCAGAAAGTTGCTGGGGCTCCAACTTGTCTAGTCCTTCTCACCTGTATTAAACTTTATTTTTACCATTATTTAGTACGGATCTTATCGTAAGAAGTGTATGTGCAAGTAAACTAGAAGGCTTCTTAGTTCGTCTGAGCGGGAAAAGAACAAGTCCCCAATTCTTAGAATCTAGCGGAGCCTGAACAGCTTTCAGATGGCAGTGTTGGTACTGCCGCTGCTCTGACCAAAGCGGCGGGAAGGAGCCCGCTACATGTGTATCCAAGAAGTTTTACGTTTTCCTGTTGTGGCTCTGCAGGAAGAAAAGTATAAGTGCTTAGACAAGATGCATGGCCACATTGATCTCAGTTTGCAAAGGACATACTTGGAACAAGCTGCTTTGTGTTTTGTTTTGTTTTTTGCCCTTTTACTTAATATTTATCTTTTCATTTTACGTTTCCCCCCAGATCAGCAACGTCTTGTTTTTCATTTTACCTCCCATCTGCATGTGCTTGTTCCGCCAGTACGCAACGTGCTTCAACAGTGGCATCTACTTAATATGGACTCTTTTAGTTGTAGTGGGTAAGTGGACCCGTTTGGGAGCATGGGCTGAACGGGAGGAAATGGAATTCCAACACTTCCTGTCTCCTGTGAACATTATGTTTTATAAACCAAAGTCACTCTGACGTCTTAGCGCACTTTTATGTTGCTTGCTGGAGGCCAAAAGCACTCTTTCAAATATGGGCTTGATAACAAGGTTGGCTGTAATTATCAATTGTATTTGAGAGTTCACTTATGTCACTGCCATTGGTGTTATGCCAATGCAGTTTCTGAGAACTTCTGAAGAAAGTCATGTGGAACAATGGAACTAACTCTGATGAGACTGGTTTCTAATGGACTAAAGGTAAAACAAAACAAAACAAAACAAAACAAATTCTAGTTGTTTGATCCTTCATTGTTTTGGGAAATACTTGGGTAATTTCCATTTCCTTCCACAGGCAGATTGGGAACTCTTAGCAGGGAGAGAATGTTGACTTCTTTTTACTGCCGGTTCCCATGAAGGCTAGTGGATGGAGAGAGACCGTGCTCACCTGTGGGATCATTAAAGTTCTGGAGTGCTGATATTTAGGCCCTCCTTGAAATCCTCTTTCTAGACTTGAAGTCTGCAGGCCTGGGTGGTGTGAGTTTCTTCCTTCGGTTTCTTTTTTCAGAGAGAGCGAGCGATCTGGTGATTGCGACCGTGGTTGGTGAAAGGGCTCTCCTTAAGCAGTGTATTGAATGTGTGAGTCTTTTCTTCTTCGGTGACACTTTTTATTGGTTGTAATTGATTCTAGGAATTGGATCCGTCTACTTCCATGCAACTCTGAGTTTCCTGGGTCAGATGCTTGATGAACTTGCAATCCTTTGGGTTCTGATGTGTGCTCTGGCCATGTGGTTCCCTAGAAGGTATCTGCCAAAGATCTTTCGGAACGACAGGTAAGCTTGTGCTAGGCACCTGCTCAGTGCAATACCCAATATAATGTAATATATCAAGAAAAACAGCACACGATGAGGCCCAGCCTAGTGATGAGCTCATCATACACCTGTTTAATACCTCCTGATTGTTTAAAGTCTGACAGTATAAATGAACTGACAGATAATAGAGAGGATTCTATATGCCTGGAGAAGAATTTATATAACATTAGGGACAGAACGTCAAATGTCTCCCTTATTTGATGTGAGAAAAAGTGGAAAGATTATCAGTGGGGGGGAAATTCCTGAATGGCAGTTCAAAGACCTTTGATTTCCTGTTAGAATATTTCCTTTAGTCCAACCTACTCCACCATTTTATAAATTTACAGTAGAATCCACTAAGGAATTGGTTCTTGGAGCCATAGCTACTGTAGTTGTTCACACACACACACACACACACACACACCCCTCCAAACTGGAAACCCAGAATTTCAGGAAAGGATGCATTTTAATATCCATTGTGCTATGCTTATATGCTTGAGTATTCATCCAGTAAATACTTTTTGAACACTTACTATTTGCTATGCATTTTCCTAGGCTTCTAGGCACTGAGATGTAGCAGTAAATTAAACAACAGAACCTCTGCCCTGGACGAGCTTACACTGAGGTTGGGGAGATTGTGAATCAACAAACAAATACGTAAATACTATTAGGGAGAGACAAATCTATGATGGAAATGAAGCTGGTTAAGGGGTTGTAGTAACTTCGAGTTTGGTCAGGGATGCCTTCCTGAGGAGCTGTATAAGGGTGTTAATATCTGAAGGAACAGAAGAGAGTCACCCTCATAAAGATAAATGTTCCCAGAACATATTACTCATGTTTGTCAAGGTATCTATGGATAAATAGTCTAAAGATAGGGATTCAGTTAAGCAAGCTGGTACAGGGACAGGAGCTATGCAGCTATTAACTGTTGTGTAGGGACTGAGGTGGAGGCGTGTCCATGAAATATGATGGCTGCAAAAACACATTGTAGAACTGTGTGTGCAATATTCTAATTTTAGAATGAATGAAATAGCCTCTTGTTGAGTATATGTCTTTGTACGCACACAAAAATGCCTGGGAGGATGAGGACAGCCACCACCACTCTTAGGAATTGGGGTGGAGAGAGAGCTTTCATTTTTACCTTTTTTAAAAAATATTTTTTTTTTATTGATTTCAGAGAGGAAGGGAGAGGGAGAGAGAGATAGAAACATCAGTGAGAAAGAATCACCGATTGGCTGCCTCCTGCACGCCCCCCACTGGGGATCGAGCCCAAAACCCAGGCATATGCCCTTGACCGGAATCGAACCTAGGACCCTTCAGTCCACAGGCTGATGCTCTCTCCACTGAGCCAAACTGGCTAGGGCTCATTTTTACCTTTTAATCTGCACTGTTTTCCTTTTTACAAAGAGCACATGTTAATTTTTAATATGAAAATGTATTTTTAAATGAGGCAGGGAGAAAACACACTATAAATGGATTAGCTGTAGAATCTTCATCCTGGGTAGTAGGATTTGCATTAAATAGTGTTATCTCTGAGTATAATCAAGTAGAAAGAGGTATCCTTAAGGTTACTTATCAAAAAGTGAGAGAGAGAGAGGGAGTGCGAGAAGGAGAGAGGGAGCGGGAGGGGGAGGGAGAGGGAGAGGAAGAGAGAGAGAGAAAGAGAGAACCAGCTGTTTACCAGTGGAAGTGAAAAGGGGGTGTTCCCCATCTTAGATGAAATAATGAAATCCAGTTTCCATGTGGCTGAGCCTGCTCCTCAGTGGAGGAAATGCACATTAAACCACGCAGGTTGGTTTAGCTGCCTCTGGTTTCTAGTCTTGTCCTGTTTCCTTGTTCAGCTTCAGGACAATGACCGAGGGTGATCAGAAAGCCTCCTGAGCGGGGTCGGGGGAGGGGAGGGAGGGAGGCGATGGCACCAGGCAGGGTCATGAGGTGAGTTTGCAGGCGGACTTTCTGACTCTGCCTGATACACACACCATTTCCTCTCGGCTTTTCCTGTTGTCTCCGAAGGTGCCCACCAGCCCCTCCGTCCTTTCCCGAGCCTGAGCCTGGCGTGTGTCAGGTTGAGAGCTACGGTACTATTTTGCTCTTGGATCTCATCCTGGGATTGGAGCGAGAAGTGGAAGACATGGGAACAGGGTCCTGTTTTTCTGTGGCACTCTGGAGGCCTGGGTTGAAATTCCAAGTGACATGTTTTAATGTACTCATAAGAGAGAACCTTTTTCTTTTCTCGTTTCTTGAAGGTGTGAGATAATATTGTTATGAGCAGGAGACGAGAAAATGGGGCAATGGCTGTAGTAATGCACGGTTACCACCTTTAATAATGGAAACATAGCCTGAGGCAGGGAAGTCCATGACCCTTGGGACTTGTCTGTCACCAGCGCCATTTCTCGGTGGAAGCTGGGACCCCTTTCAGTTTGAGCAGAGTCCTTTGGCGGCACTGACCACCATGTATGTATATATCCCTGGCCTTGGAGAATACCTGGGTTTGAATCCTAGCTTCCCAGTTTATAAACGGTATAACTTGTCTATACTCTAACTTTCTATTTCCTCATCTATAAAATTAGGTAGTTCTAGGGTTTTTGCGAGATGACTGCAGCACTCCGTATGGTACCAAGAACAGGGTGAGCGCTCAGTCAGAGTTAGCTCTCATGACTGCCCATGGCACGGAGAGAGTGGGCATTGAGGATTTTAATGAGCAAAGAAAGAAAAGGTGCGTGTTACAGGAAGTCGCTCACTCTAAATATAAGGATGTCAATTCCACTTGTCTGTCTTCAATTTCCAGGGATGGGGAGAGCGAGGAGAGCAAACCCCTCCATGGGCTTCGGGACCCCTGACAGGTGGCAGCTCTACAGGAAGTGGCAGGCCAGACCAAAGGCTTCAGGTCAATACCAAGATTTCTGAAGACTAGGGATTGCGTGGTTTAGCTGCCTGCATTTACCAGATAGTTAACATTGATCTCTCCTTTTTGTTTGTTTGTTTGTGATCTAGACTTTGCTGGACTGTTTTTAAAAACCTGTTCAGAGTAGTTCCTGTGTGAGATTCCTGGAGAGGAGACAGCATAGAGGCTAAGTGACTGGGTCAGACAGATAGGGATTTGAGTAATGATCTACCTTTTGTTTGTTTTGTTTTTAAAGCTCTGATACCTCATTTTGCTCATCTGTAAAGTGGAGATAATAGCTGTATCCACCTCATGGGGTTAGAAATGTATGATAAAATCTTACAAAGCATATTAAGGACTCACTCAGTGCTAGCGGTAATTATGAATGACTAATATAGATAAGGGTTTGAAGATAAGGATGACTAGAACAGCAGGCATTATGTAAGTAGGAATAATTGGTGGGTTTAAAAAAAGAAGGGCTTTCTTTCATCTTGCCTAGAATGTTTTTACGAATTGTCAGGACACACACTCCACTATAGACGGTTATTAATAATTTTTAGTGTTTTGAGAAAAAAACAAGAACAAAGAAGTATTATAGATTTAATTATATCCATTTCTAAAATAATTTATCCTGCTGTGATTTTTAAGAGTTTGCCTCTACAAAGTCTAGGGACAGACCTCACTTTAGAATGCAGTTCATTCTTTGACTCCTGAATAGCAGGGGTGCAGGCTGGGGCCTGCGTGTCCTGCTCTCACGCTGACTAGATGACTTGGGGTCACCATCTCTGACTCTGGGCCTTATCCGTTCCTCACTTATAAAATGACAGGCGTGGGCCTTCCAAGACCAAATGCTGTAGTCCTGTGACTCTCAGGGGCTTGTCCTAAATAGGTTGTTTGAACCCTATAGGGTAGTTTAAAGCAGTGGGTCTTAACCAGGGACATTTCTGCCTCCTAAGGGAAATCTGGGAAGTTTACAGTGGTCACAATGATGGGATGTTTTCTCATCCATAATTTGCATTTGACTTCAGAGGAGTAAAAGGGCCATTATAATTATTTGATTTTAAAAATGGGCAGCGGGTCTGACAGAGTGAAAACCACTGCTTTAAATGGTAGCTGATGATAATAGTAATAGCTTTGTTATAATCATATTATGATGAAGGTGCCGGGTGGCTAGATTTTGGTTTTGGGAGCACAAGAAGAAGGGGTGCTAAGAGTTCCCTGACCTGGTGTTCAGTTGGAACCCACAACGGGCTGGACAGTTGACAACAGGACCAGTGCCGGCAGGAGCCATCATTGCTCAGAAAAAGCCTGGGGGGCCCCTGGCTCCTGGAGATTGCTAGCTCTCTTGCACCCAGGGCCTCCGGTCACTCGGGGTCGCTGGGCTGCCATGTGACTTCTGTTGCCTTCTGCTGGTTGCAAAATCATGCTTTCACAGGACGTCCTAGTTGGCTAAGCGGCCTTCCCAAAGCACATTCCACACGCCCACCGGACTGACGTGGGAGGTGTCTGCCCCCGTTCAGAAAGCATGTTGTGTCAGGCTTGCTGCCTTTGAACTCTGGCAGAGCTATTAGAGTCTTTGGTGATTGCAACACCAGCTCAGTCAGATTTTCCCTGGGAGTGTGCTGTTATTAACAACAATAATATTTTAAAGAGCATTTATTCTCAAGCGATGGCAGTGATTGTGGATTTGATGAGCAGACACCATGTACCAGGCGCTGTACCAGTATGAAGTGCTGCAATGCTTGCAGGAACACCCTCAGGCGGGTGTCTTCACTCCAGAGCCTGGGGAGAGTCCCGTGATTTGCCAGAGATCCCACAGCCACCGACTGCGGAGGCAGAATGTGAGCACACACGGGTCGCACGGGCACACCCGTGCTGGGAATCCCTGTGGCTCTCTCGAACCTGAGTCTGAATCCTAAACCATTGGATATAGGGAGGTGATTCCATGTGGAAGTTTTAATTATGTGTTTCCCCAGCCTAAAAAGGCCCAAAGCCTCGGCATGTGTCACACCACCTCAGCCCAGGGAGAGTTGTTGTGGGTCTCGAAGGGTTATGCACACGTTGGGGCTGGGAGAGCAGGCAGCCTTTTACCCAGTAGCTGAAGGATGCCAGCCAAGGTCAGGAGAAAAACACGATTCTCCCGGGGATTTGCTGCCTGGATCCTTTCCCAGACATATTTTTTTTTTCCTCTGGTCGAAGTTCAGGGCTACCATTCCTGTTCATTCCGCTCAGAAAGTTGGCAGCTTGATCAATGATTTCCTGTGCCTTGAAGATAAATGGTTTTCCTCTAAGAGATAAATTTGTATTTTTAAGGTTTCAGTGAACTTTGATTTTTTTATGATGGAATTTCATTTAAATTAGTTTCCTAACCGTGACCTGTTCCAGGGCTCATGGCCAAAGTAAATGGTGCTCATAACAGAAACTTCAGGAATATCACGAGCTCTTAAATTTCAGTCATAGATGAGGCCTTAGAGACAATCCAGTTCGGACTTTTCATTTTCTAGATAAGGAAGTGGAGTCCCGAGGAGAGAGGAAGGAGCGTGGTCAGGATCACGTCGCCGATTCTGGCTCTTTCTGCTGAAAGCATCTCCACCCGAGTGAAAGGGGGCTGTCAGTTATTTTTCTAAGATTTGTGGTGTCAAAAACTTGTCAACACAAAATGCCAAAGCTTCCTAGACCGTGGATTGTCAGTAAATACAGACACTATTACAGTGTTTTAAAGACTTTTATTTTTGTGTGCTGGACACAGGAGGTTTTTTCCATGCACACACACACACATACACATACATATAATTGATATTTAGAGAGAGGAAGGGAGAGAGAAACATTGATTGGCTGCCCCCTGCACGCCCCCTCCTTGGGGATTGAGCCCGACACCTGGGCACGTGCCCAGACAAGGAAACCAACTGGCAAGTTTTCCGTGCATGAGACAACGCCTAACCGACTGAGCCACCTCACCAGAGTGATGTTTTTCTTTTAAACCAGGAAGCTTACAGAACGGAGGTTGATACACTGTGTTCTGTGGGCCAAATTGGTCCACTGCCTGTTGCAAATCAAGTTCTGTTGGTGCACAGCCCTGCCCGTTCCCTCCCTTACTGTCCACAGCGGCAGAGTGAAGTAATTGTGTGACCCACAAAACCTAAAATATTCACTGTCGGGCCCTTTCCAGAAACGTTTACCAAATCCTGCTGTAAAACATGTGAAAAGAAAAAGAAAACAAGTATCCATATCTCACCCTTAGGGGCTGAAGTTGATTCTAATTTTGCCGTTCTCATGGCTAAGTATTTAGAATATTTCTGATTATTCCCTAAGGATAGATTCCTAGAAGTGGCATTACTGAGCCAGTGAGTGTGAATGGTGTTTAGGCTCTGGGTACTTGGTGCACAATTTCTTACCAGCCTCCACTCCCACCAGCAGGGCCTATACCTTGTCCACATTTGACAAACAAGACCTCCTTAGCTAATGGGTTTGGTTTGCTTTCACCGATTCAGGGGCAGGTTCAAGGCGGTGGTCTGCGTCCTGTCTGCAGTTACTACGTGCCTAGCCTTTGTCAAGCCCGCCATCAACAACATCTCTCTGATGACGCTGGGGATTCCTTGCACTGCGCTGCTCATCGCAGAGCTGAAGAGGTGGGTGCCGTTCTCCCTGCCCTTCGCTGTCCCTGTGACAGGGACGCACCAGCTCCTGGTTCCTTTACTCCCCTGAGTGTGGGGGAGGAGTTGGACTTTTCGTGAAGAGTTAGTTCCTGACTGTTGTTTGAAAGCAGGTTTGATCTCATTTTCTGAAAGAGGGAGCAGCTGTTTTGTGGGTGCAGCTGTTTTGTGGGTGCAGTACATCCTAGGGGTCCAAAGCTAGATTAGCAGAAACATCTCAAGGACCTAGTGTGCCCCTAGACCAGGGGTGGGCAAACTTTTTGACTCGAGGGCCACAATGGGTTCTTAAACTGGACCGGAGGGCCGGAACAAAAGCATGGATGGAGTGTTTGTGTGAACTAATATAAATTCAAAGTAAACATCATTACATAAAAGGGTACGGTCTTTTTTTTAGTTTTATTCATTTCAAACGGGCCGGATCCGGCCCGCGGGCCGTAGTTTGCCCACGGCTGCCCTAGACCGAGGGGCCTAGAGTGAGTGAACTCTATAGAAAGGAGAATAGGTTTGTTCATATGACAAGAATAAGGAGAAGAGTCCTCTAGTGATAGTTGCAGTCACACACAGAAGGAAAAAGAAATGAATTTCTGTGTACAAGGCACAATGTGACTTCTGGTGTCATACTGTCGACGGCTACTTTCTCTGAGATCTGGTTTCTTATTTACAAGCTACCAGGAAAGCCTTTTGTCCTTGGGTAAGCATTTTCCTTTGGGAAGTTGTATACTCAGAGTTCAGGTTGATATGGAGAAACATTTTAGCTTCGCTCTTTTGTGTACACGACTGTCTTCTTCTAGCCCCAATGCTCTTAAAAAATGCTTCTGCTTTGCGTGCCCACTTGTAGAAATGCATGATTCTCTCATTGCTGTGGACGTGGGTGTCTTGGCGGAAGTCTTCTGTCTGTCCCCCTTGGTGAAAGTCGTCTGTGTAATGTGTCAGTCAGCTCTCTCTCAGTCTTTGTTTTGAGAGGAGACATGTACATTTCTATCCCCTGCCCCGCCTCTGGGGGTTGTGTTGATTGTCAGCAATCCCAGGCAGGGTCAGAGGTGGCTGAAGAGGTGGGTAAGCCTGCCAGCTGGCCGTGGAGGGACGCTGTCGGGCTTGTCTCATTGGCTTCTTTGAGGAGCCTTCAAGGACCAGGGAATTAAGATACCTATTTCAGACACTAACAGATATTTTTTTAAAATATATTTTTGTTGATTTCAGAGAGAAAAGGAGAGGGAGAGAAAGTGAAACATCAATGATGAGAGAGAATCATTGATTGGCTGCCTCCTGCACGCCCCCCACTGGGGATCGAGCCCGCAACCTGGGCATGTACCCTTGACCAGAATCAAACCCGGACCCCTCTGTCCACAGGCCGACGCTCTATCCACTGAGCCAAACCAGCTAGGGCCACTAACAGATCTTGAAACTCTTTGAAAAACACACACAGTTAAATAGCTGTTAAAGACATCCGAAATGGATTTGTAATAGTCACTTTTTCTCTTTCTCATTAGCCTCAATCCTAGAGCTTGTTTCTAGTCTTTTCATATTTTCATTGTCCTTTCTGAGCCTTCTCTCAGACCATGAGGAAATAACATTTATTATGACTTGGGGTCATGATCTGACATTTGCTGAAATTTGGGTGGTGTTCTCACATTACCGAGTGACTCAGCTACATCTAAAATATTGTAAAATAGACTCATTTTTTCTGATCATAAGAGAGTTGATTAAGGACAACTTTGAGAATACAACAGAGGGTCAAGAAGAGAAGCAACAGTAGACATCTGCTCAGATTTTTCTGTCCTAAACTTGGGTCCTGCTTTTGCACTTAACCTCACATTGGCATTTTGATTCCAGCCCTGAAAAGTGGGACTATACCCAGTGGAGGTCAGGTTTGGATAAGCCCCAAGTGCAAATAAGCCTAGTGTGCAGCGTCTGGCAGGGTCTGCCCCTTCGCCAACAGAGGAAGGGACAGTGCAGGCTGCCCTGGACCCTGACTCTGCAGGGCTTCCCTCCCAGCATTCCAGGTGCCAGCCCCGCCCGCCCCAGGGGACTCGCCCATGTGACATTCCACCTCTTTCTTGCCACTCAGCACACACACTGCATCTCCAGCTCTCTGTGCTGGGGTGTTCCGTAAGCCAAACTTTCTGGGGTCAATTAAATTGAGTGTATAGATCCTCCAGTACCAGACCAATTGCCTATATATTTGTTGATATTTGCTTCTGTCCATTTTCATTTTACCTTTTAAAATGGCAAGGCTAGAAGCCTGTTTATTTTGCCTTTTAGAGTGCAAAATAAATTGTCTATATATTTGACTTGAGCTTCTGAAATGGAATGACTTATTTTCCTGAGAGGGCTGGAGAAGACCAAGTTTTGGTTGGGGGAAAGGTTAGGAGTTCATTATGGACATGTTAAATGTGGATCTATCTGAGACCTCGGTGGACATGTCTAGAAGGTAGTTGGGTTTGGAGTCTGGAGTCAGGGAGGGGCCTGGGTGAGAGGTATGGCTCTAGGGCTCATCTGTGTACATACAGGATTCACATCCATGAGTGGCGGAGTGACGGTATGTGGGGTAGGAATTCCAGTGCCAAGGGGCTGGGGAGATGTGAGGAACCAGACCAGCGGCCAGGGAGGTGGGCGGAAACCAGGACTGATGGCATCTGGATCCCGTGCAGGTGTGACAACGTGCGTGTATTTAAGCTGGGCCTCTTCTCGGGCCTCTGGTGGACCCTGGCTCTCTTCTGCTGGATTAGTGACCGAGCCTTCTGTGAGCTGCTGTCGTCCTTCCACTTCCCCTACCTGCACTGCGTGTGGTAAGCCCTGCCAGTGGGGGGCTGCGGGACCGGGGGCTGCACTCTCCTTTGGCTCTGTTCTTCCTCCAGGTGCCCAGGTGTGCCCAGGGGACGGGGAGCCCGAGTGCCCCCTCTCCTCGGACACTGTCAGACTTTTCAGAAGCTACTGTCCAAAGCAGAATGGACTCCAGGGAGCTGGCTCAGCCAGAACGAAAAGACCTAATTGTTTATGCTTCAAGTCCGGGTCTCTGACCTCTAGCTCCATTATTAAAGCATAATGGAGCCTGAAAACCGAAGCCGTCACCTGAGCTCTGGCTAGATCTCTCGGGTGGGGGAGGTGGGGAAGGCTTGGGACAAACGTGGGGACCAGTCCAGGGACGTCCAACCAGGAACCAAAGGAGGTAAATATGACCTCTTTCAAGATATCGTACATTTTTGTCAACCCAAGTTCCCTTTTGGGTTTGAATGACCAGGTGAACACTTGGGCCTCAGGTCATCTAGGGACAGTCTCACCCATTCATGTTACAGGTGGAGACCGAGGCCCAGAGAAGTAAAGTGAATTGTTCACCACCAGCTGGTTATATAAAACCAGCCCAGGTGTCGATAAGGGGGATGGGAGCATCTATACCTGGGATGCTCAGGAGACACTGTTAGGTAAAACAATGAAGCAGGTTGCGACGTGTGCAGCATCCTTCTCTCAGAAGCTGCGGAGGAAGCCGAGTGGCTTCCTAGGAACCACCTCCGCTCCAGACCCAGTCATCTCCCCATCGCTGTCCTCCAGGACTTGGAATTGCGAGCAACAACGGGGACCAAGGGAAACATGAAGGGTGTCTCCTGCAAATTGAGAGCCTCCAGGAGGGAATTCCATTGGTAACGAGTTGGAAAAACTGTTAGATCTGAATCAGATGAAGCGTGACTTGTCAGGAAATGCCTAAAAACCTGGAAGAATTCACTTACATTTCCTTGAAGGAAAAAAAAAAAAAGGCTTAGGGACTTCAGAACTCTTTGCAAAAGGTGAAATAAAATAAAACAGCTCAAATTGGGATTCCAGCCTTAGGATCCATTGCCTGATGTTTCTTAGGTTCAACCTTGACTCACACTAGTGAGTTTATAAACACTTCATATATTTGCTGAGTTATAATTGACAGATAATAAAACACACAGATTAATACTTACCTGGCAGGGAGATACTGTGATCACGAAGGTGATTTTCCCAGGGCGAGGCTTATCCATCGCGCTCCTGTGTGCTGACCCCTGCGATTTCCTCAAATGTGGGAAACTCAGCTGCATGACTTGTGGTAGCGGGGGACTGCCTTCCTGCTCTCCCCTAAAAAATAAAACAAAACGCACAGATGTAAATGTATGGCTTGATGAGTTTTGATAAGTATATACCTTGTGTAAATATGACCTTATTCAAGATATAGTACATTTTTGTTGATCCAAGCAAGTTCCCTGGGCACACTAGCAATGTAAGTAAAATTCGAAGATTATACTGTAACTAGAGGCCTGGTGCACGAATTCATGCACAGGTGGAGTCCCTCCTGGCCCATCGGGCTGTCTCGCCACGTACCAATTGGGGCCGGCCCGGGGGAGGGACTGCGGGAGGTTGACCAATCAGGGGAAGGGACCACAGGAGGTTTGCCGGCTGGCCAAACTGGGCTCATCAGGGCCGGCCACCCGGGAGGAGGGACCTCGGGAGGTTGGCCAGCCGCAGGAGGTTGGCTGTGGGAGCGCACTGACCACCAGGGGGCAGCTCCTGCGTTGAGCATCTGCCCCCTAGTGGT